TTTATAGACAAAAATAAGTAAGATATCATGAATATGAAATTGATTGATGGAATTTTCTAAAAAACAAGTAAATATTTTGGTTGATTCTTCATGTCTATTATCAATTGTCGATTCAAGAAACGCTACTTTCAGTATATTTCTACATGGATTTCTACTCCTGCATTTACACTAGGTATTCAAAATGAAATAGTACCATGGATACTGGTCTCACATGGTGTTGCTCTTAAAAAGAAATGGCGGCCATTTTGAAAGAAACTTGTAAACATTGTTGATAATCTAGAAATAAAGGTACCTGTATAATTTCAAGCAAACTGAGGGAACAAAATTGAGCTGAAAACCTGATTTTTCTGCAATAAAAGTGGTTACCATTTTGAATGTTTTTGCGACTTGTTTTGTCGGAACTTGTAGGCATTATTGATAACACATAAATTAAGGTACCTGTACAATTTGAAGCAAATTGATGAAAAACTTGTGGAGTTATAACCAAAAAGAGCTGAAACAAGGTGAGCTTTTGAGACACCACTTATGGAACAATTGACGACTTTATCACTGTTCCACAACCAGTTACTCTGACGGAACGTCAATGTAACAAAATAGATGAACTTCCTGGATACAAGTTTTTTGTTTTCTCGATTTAAACGTATGTACAAGTCATGTTGCGGATTATCATTCGGCACAAAGTTAGACAAGTCTAGCTTTTAGAAATGCTCTTGGTTTGGAATTTGATTTTTAAATAAAGCTGTAATTCATGCATTTAGACCATCGCTTTTGTTACATTGGCATAAGTCGTCAAAGTAGCATACATTGGTAATATAACAGATTTTCTTCAATGTAACAAAAGCGAGGGGCTAAACATATGAATTGAAACTTCATTTACAAAACAAATTCCAAATCGAAGAAACTTATTAAAACTAGACTATATTTTCTAGCTTTGTGCCAAATTACAATCTGCAACTTGACTTATAAGTACAGTAAAACCTGCGAACAGGGAATGCTCTTCGGACTGGAGGAAAGTTTTCTTGTTCAGAGGTTTTCCCTATAGAGAGGGGCCGCACTTTCAGTAAACTCAGAATTGCCGAATAAGCATTTTTTTTGTATATATTTGGGCATTAATTGATTTTACCAATGCCAACTCCATACTTGGTTCCTAGACCTTGTTGTGACATCTTGGAAGATGTATGAATGTCTCCCACCTCCCTCCTTTAGCTGAGGGTAAGGAGCATTCTCCCGATGTTGATTTTAGCCGCTGCTGCTGGCGTATGATGATGTCTAGTTGTTGTAATTATTGATAGATTTGGCTCAACATAACACATGTACTTATCTGTTATCTCCATAAAACAATTGTGTCAATCCCTAGATTATCACTACTGGGATGTAATAAGTTTGTTGAAAGGAACTAGTGTCATGATAATTAGTAACAAACAGATTAGTATTAGTTTTAAAATATATCAGGGTAATTAACAGAGGTTGGGATGCTGCATCTTGTAAACAATTGGCTTATCTTAATCTCAATCATATTAATCCAAGCTTTTTAGAATCAGATATTGGCTTAAGACTTTCACACCTCTGAAAAATAATGGAGTGTACAGTGTCACCAATATTCCATATTGCCCTAAAACAGTGTTCCTTGTTCCTTGTTCACAGGTTTTCCCTACAGAGAGGGTCCGTTAACATGTAAGTCAATGGAAAAATATTTGGTTCTTTTGAAAAGCATTCCTTGTTCATAGGTTTTCCCTACAGAGAGGTATTCCATCGAACAGGTTTTACTGTAGGTTCATCTTCATCCATTTTGTTACATTGACGTTCCACCAAAGTAACTAATTGTGGAAGAGTGCTTATATAGACACGTTTTAAAAGTGAAATCGTTCCAATTGTTGTGGAGGATTTTAAATTAGCTACCAATGTGTTGACAGACGGACGGACGGACAGACAAGTGGGTGATAACAATAGCTCAACCAAGTGAGCTAAAAATAACAATAATACTAAACAGCAATTATAATGACAAGTATTGCACATGGGAATATGAAATGTAGATTCACTGTGAACTTAACTCTCAAGAAAGTAAAAATCACCATGTGAGTTAATAATGGAAATGAATCCCATTGGAATAATATTAGAGATAGGGCAAGAAAGAATGGACATTTACTGATAGTTGTGGTCAAATACACAATATATATATATACAATCTATTACAGAAAAAATCTCAAATATAATCCCATATCCTGACCCTCCTATTGGGTAATCTCTATACATAAGGGTTACATACTTGGAGATTGTGATATAGGGTCTATTCCGAGGGAAATTTCTTAATCCGAAGGGAGATTTTGATAATCCCTTATATCATCATGATCAAACTGCTGGACATTGCAAAATGTTTTTATACACTTTTACTTCACCGTCTAAGTTTAAGGGCTGCAAATAAAATCCTCATGTTTTAATCACTCACAAATCACTGTGACTTGGGCTTAAACTTGTGCTGTTTGATTTCCAAGAAATCCATTATGAATCATGAAATCCAAGATTTTAGAAGCCATAAAATTGATCTCTATGATAAATGAAAGAAGCCTCCTAAGTTTTTAAAGACAATACTTGACATCTTTCCAACAGGATCATAGTCTTGCTTCAAGACCCTGGACACTTATCTGTTGTTGAAGTAGGAGATAATATCCCAACATTTATCCCAATATCAAATCATAACACAGTACAGGGTGTCTCATAACATTATGTCAGTACAGTAAATGTCAGCTAAAGTTAAGAGTAAATGTGATGCCGATCCTTAAACCTTTAGAATCTGTTTATATGGGAGTCTAACATATTGTTTTTTATGTCTAATAAATGAGCCAATGTGCCCCCATAATGGAAAAAGAATATGTCCATGAGTAAACATGAATTGTATTCTCAAAACAAGAATATCCAGCTTGAGGATCTGCATAACATAACATCTGAAAATTTTATGATGATACATTTCCGTAGTTCTTGAGAACTTTAAAGGCAATTTCTACATTCCTGAAGGATTTCATAATCATCTAGGTGTTATAGTAATCTCAAGATTATCAACTACCCCTTTAAATAGATTAATACCTTGGTTTTCTTTTTCTTTTCATAAATCTTCTTCATAATACTGTGCATGGCAGATATATTTTTGAGCTATTTGTCATAGTTAGGTTGTCATGACATCAGACACAGACAAGTATAGCACCAATGTCAAGGAGACCTTCTGGCCTTAACTGTTATTTTCAATTGCAATACAATCTTAGAACATAGAGATACAATATTATATTACTGTCATTCCCCATTAACACAAGAGCTCTTCAAATATGTGGTAACCTACGTCTTAGCTATATCAAATGAAAAGACAGATTTCCATTACTGATTCAGAGAATCTCTTGTACAATTTCAACTATGTCTTAACATCTACATCCACATTTAGGGTAATTTAAATCCAGCCTTGGGGTTAGAATTACAGAAATTGCACAAATATATAATCTGAGCACTTTAAACAGTATATTACATTTGCCGGGATATTGGTTTATAATTATTGGACACTTATGGAGAGCTGGAGCTCACTTTGGTCATTTATCTCAATAAAATATAATCCACCATTTTTTATTTGATTTATCCCAGATATGATCAATACATGTGGATTAAATATACTTGAAAATAGATTCCGTTGATAAAAACCAGGTCCTACTAAGTCATGATTTACATATGATTAATTTAATGCTAAAAAGGTTTAAATTCAATTTCATTTACATACCATCTATCCCTTTAAATGCGAAAGGCAATTTCCAAATTTATCTAAACAGCAAAGATGACATGAAATTAAAGATTTCTATTTCTGAGAATGATTGCTCCATAATTCAACAATATAGAATATCCCCAAAGTACCCATAAGTGGTGATGCAATGCCAATATTCAGTAATTGATTGTGTCTTCCCAGAATGCAGATTAGTTCACTATGCTCTCACTCGTATAATTTTTTTTATGATCTGATATGATTCTTCACTTTCTCCATAACGCAGACAATCATTTTATGGCAACTTCATACAGGGTGACAAAAAATGCAACCCACTAATTTTCGAATAACTTCAATAATCAAGGTAATTTCATGATTTTTGTTGTGTGTGTTCAATGGATAAAAGATTGTTGTACTTTAATAGCATGAACAACTGAGATTTAAAGATATCAAGTTTTCGGTCCAGACATGCTCTCTGTGAAATTGCTGCAGCATTCCCCATGTACTTATAAGGGTTAAAAGAGATTCCTCTCTGGAATAACATAACATTATATCTTGGTCTGAACAATTCATTTTCATCTTCTTATCAAGCAACATCCTGATATAATCTGATCAAGGGTAATTCATATCATTCATCAATACAGTACTATGTGACAAATATAAACCAAGGAACTTGGTGTATGAATTGGTTAACACTGCTTGAGCCTAAATATTAAACATTGTTTCAGATTCAGACACCACTATCCTAGTGTAAACAAAAGTTGAATACCCCACCACTAGTTTGCAAAATATATTTTAATATATATTAAGTATATACCTAATCAATGAACAATTTTGATAAATTCTAAATGTAATTTTACGAAAATTTTATTATTTAATGATAGATGTAAAGATTCTACTCGCACTTTGAAGATTATGAAGGAGTGATGAAAAAACATTGAGAGAAAAATTTTGACAAAATTGCCAATTCAATGGCTTTTTCAATACTGAAACTTTTACTCCTCCCCAAACATGATGATTATTTTTATTCCAAAGTTACCGTGATATTCATAGGATAAATAAATTGATACTTTTCTAACTGACAGTAATATATGATATTTTTGACAGATATCCATTCGTGGATAAAAATCATATCACTCATAAATCATAGGATATCCTCTATTAGATTTGCAATGGAACATTGATACCTGACCCAGCTCCTTATAGATTCATTAAATATGATACATTAGGGAAGTGATTAAAGTATTTATCAACAAACACTTACCTAACTTCAACACCTCTGATCTGTTATTTTCATTCATTTCATCTCTGAAAGGAAAAGAATTATTGTGAAACATGTATAAAATGGAATTTGCCAAAATGTTCCCATTAAGAGATATCAATAATACGGGACAAAAGATAAAACCTATTGAGATGAGTATTCTCAGAGTTGTTCAGCATATGTTTTATTGTAATATGTTGCAGTAAAGCAACATCAATCATGCCATCTATATATTGTCATAAGATATTTTGAAATATATTTGATCTTTTTTTGTTCTGTAAACATTTTATTAAACTTGGACATCACTCTGGAGTGCAGATTTGGGGTTGCACAGGGGTCAACTGTAAGATTTTGAGCTTTAATGAAATAATATACTCTGGTGAAAGAACGGGGCAAATCTTATGTGCAAATACTCGCGATAAATGTGTCATTATGAGAATTGTTCCTTGGATTGCTTGGATTGTCAGCAACAATTTGATTTTTGGTAAGTTTCTAAATATAAAATATGACATCACTACTCAATTAAAATGTTCACAATAATTCGCAATAAATTACTTGTGCAATTAATAATTGAGTTGGTGGCGGTAGAATACTTACCCAGGACAGGGACCACAGTAGTTTGAATCCAGTCTGTAATTACTTTAATATTTTTAACTAAATGATTGTGCTTTGATATTACGCAAACATTTTTTTAACACACCAACTTTTTATAAGAGCATTTATAATCATGTAAATATATGTTCACACATTGCATTGTTGCAGAAAAGAAACATCAATCATGCCATCTATATAATTTCATGAGATATTTTGAAACATACCTGAATTTTTTTGTTCAGCAAGTAGGATTGGCTCCCAGAGTTCAACATTGATATGTTATCCCATAAATGGGCATGTCGTGATACAAAATTCAAATTCAAATAGCCGCCATTTTGTTCACTTAAACAATGGAATCATGATTTGTGGTCTTATTTCCAAACGAAAAATTCCAAAACTCACAAGAAGTGATTGAGACATTGGTTCAAATCTTTTGGACTGTTTATTTTGAATTTATAGTAAGTTATAATTTCGGAAAATAACAACATTTCTACATTTTCATTGTTGGAAAATATTGAGGTTCGATCCTGGGAGCCAATCCTTCTTGTTCAGTAAATGTTTTATTGTAATATGTTGCATTAAAGAAACATCAATCATGCCATCTATATATTGTCATAAGATATTTTAAAGCATACTTGAAGTTTTCTTGTTCAGTAAAATTGCAAAAATCACATTTAAACTTTTTGAGAAGGTGAAATGTGTAACTTGCTGATAGGGCATGTAAGATATGATATATGCTGTATCTTTCCGAACCTTGTTGGAACAAAATAGCATATACAACATGTTTTTAGACCTCTCAATATTATTGTTATACAAAGGAATTTTTGGTTGATTTTGAAAAAGTATTCAAAAAATTAAAACAAAATCCCCCCAAAATAGATAAAAATCAAGATAAACCTTTTATTTCATTAACAAGATACTTTTTTAAAATCAACCAAAATTTCCTTTGTACAATTATAATATCAAGAGACCTAAACATGTTGTGTTTATTTCGTTTTGTTCCAATGAGGTTCGGAAAGATGTTTCATTTCACTCTGGAAACATGATACCAAGAACAAAACAAGAGTTTCATGTGTTTTCTAAAACAATATAGATGGAAGTATATATATACCTTTTTCAAATTATATTGTTACCATTTAAAAGACGACCATTAAATTGACGATGTGTTAAATTTTTAGATTTTTTTCATGACCCAGGTTTTAGAGAAACGTGTGTTCAAAAAGTTCTCCATATCGATACCACTCCTTTCTATCAAAATCATGAATAAAGTGTGATTTTCATATTTTGAATGATGATTTGTTTAACACTGATTATTCACAAAATGAAATAATTCAATAGGAGGTTATTTTGTGGAATCTCTGCCTAAATTAGAACTGAGGCTACCTTTATGTGAGAACACATCCCTGAATTACAGCAACTTGCACTGAGAACTCTTTTTTCTTATCTGCAATGTTGGCATTTCTTTAGATGAACACATTGCTGAAAATAAGATATATTTCTGCAATATTTCTGAGCCATTACCATTCCAGGCCTTATTTCATGCTCTATATACATTTACCGTATTCTCTCTTAAAAGCACACAGTGCCCTCCCAAAATGAAGATTGAAAATAGTGAAATATTGAGATATTTTCAAGTTTGCAAATACAAAAATTTTAAAGAAAATTTTGCTTACAATAGGTGAAATTAATTACATAACATGTTTCAACTTCTTTTTAGTCATTATCACTAAATTATAATAAATACTCTATTGCTACCATATTACTTTCATTGCATCAAATGTAATCAAGAATATATCAAAACCTCAAAGCCTTGCTGGAAAAATCTCATTTGCTGGTGAGTCAATTTTCAATTTTCCTGAGACTGTATTCATCACAAAAGTTGCATGTGTGCTCTTTGGGCGATGTGCATTCTTTAGAGAGAATATGGTACTTTATTTATCTTAGCATGTGCAAGGGGGAGGAGCAGGGAGAAAATAATTTTTCAAATTTATTTTGAGATGTAAACAAGTTTTTGTTTAGTGGACACAGTGACATACAATACTCAAGTAGTAAACATTTAACTGTCAAAACACTTTAAAATTAGAAAACCACATTAATAAAAGATCAGGTCAAAAAGGTAGCTGAACGATGTTTGACAGTCAAACACTACCAGGACATAATACCCGACATCAGTGTTTATCAGTCTAGGTTTACATAACACAACGATTTATTAAACGTTAAAGTCAGTGCAGCCTAACTGAAAATGACGTGGTTTATAAAACAATTTTACCTCAGGATCAGCATCTTCTGGAACAAAGGTACTATCAACAATATGATGCCGTTAATCAGGGGCCTCGTGGTACTGATGTTGTGCTTTATCTATGCCAGCATCATGTTCTTCGTTGCAGGCTGGGTTTACCAAATTCTGAAGATATCCAACAAAATTCAAGGTATTTAGTATTTACATTACTAATTGTTTGCTTCAAATGGAACATTTTTATTCAAAAATTATTGTCATTTATTTTGAATTCAAACAAAACAAATTTTATTTTATGGGAAAACAACATCCATATAATTTTTATAATTATATGATTTTGTTGATGATATAATTTTTTATATATAATGAGGATATATAACAGTTCATTTTATAAAAGACTCCAAATATGAGTGGGTACAGTATATTAAATATCCTAAAGAAAACTGATTTTTCCAAAACTGCCAAAATAAAAATTTGGTAGAAAATAATAAAATTTGATTTCTGAAGAGTTTTAAATGGGTGTAGACTAGAATGAAGATTTTTTCATTCTAGGTAAGGTGTAAGCAATTATTGAAATTACATAACTTTAAGAACATGAGTTCTCTTTTCTGAATTAGGATCTCCATTTCCAATTAATATTTTTCAAGACTCTTCTTTTTCAATTTCGAATTTTAGCTATTCATTAATTTTTCAAAATGTTGATTTGGACATTTCATTTGGCAAAAACTATTCTACCTGGGTGAAAACAATTTGGAAGTAGAAATTATCTAAAGAATTGGTATCGATATGGAGAGCTAAATTCAACAATGTTTTTGTCTTAAACCAATCATTGAAAACATTCTGTAAAAAACACAGTATTTTATGTAATGTTGACTGATTGACAACAATTTAATGCGAAAATTATTTAGAAATATTTTATATAACTGGTTTTTTTTTAATTTTTTGTTTTTCTAGTGCAATTGTTTTTGCTTCTTTCTACCAATTATTGAGAATGAAATAAAATGTCTTTCTGAACCTTGTTGGAACAAAATAGCATATACAACATGTTTTAGACCTCTCAATATTATAGTTACACAAAGGAATTTTTGGTTGATTTTAAAAAAGTATTCAAACAATTAAAACAAAATTCCCCCAAAATAGATAAAAATCAAGATAAAACTTTTATTTCATTAACAAGATAGTTTTTTAAAATCAACCAAAATTTCCTTTGTACAATTACAATATTGAGAGACCTAAACACATTGTGCTTATGTCGTTTTGTTCCAATGAGGTTAGGAGAGATGTTTCATTACACTCTGGAAACATGATACCAAGAACAAAACAAGTGTTTGATGTATTTTCTAAAACAATATAGAAGAAAGTATACATATATTTTTCAAATAATATTGTTACCATTCAAAAGATGACCATTAAATTGACGATGTGTTAAATTTTTAGATTTTTTTATGACTGGTGAAATGTGTGTTCAAAAAGTTCTCCATATCGATACCACTTCTTTCATTTTCAGAATTATTTTAATTCCTCATTTAGATTTTTGTCATCATTTTAAATATATACTTTTAGTTTTTAAATAATTTCAACCCCTATGATGGAAATTCTTTGAATAAAAACTTTTTTATAATTAAAATATTTCATTTCTATTACGATTTTTGTTGTATGAAGTGTTATTTCAAATAATGTATACTATTATTTTCAGATAGCTGCATACAGTTCGTAGAAAAATATACGCCATACAAGTGGCTAATGGGAAACAATAAAGAACGTCAACGAAAACAACCAGTTCTAATGTATGGATGAAACAGTCGAGAAAATTTCAGGAAATACTCAAAGAAGACGTAGACCAACAACACAATTGGTTGGTGATATGTGCATCTTTCCGATTATGCATAACAATCTAAGCTTTTGCTTTAAACACTGATCACTATATGCTTCCAGTACGAGACAGTCAAAAGCATAGAGAATGACAATGTAGAGACATTGAGTCAGTGTTTGACAGCACAAACAGAAAAGGAACTGACTCATAAGAACTATGAAAGTGAAAAGTATGTAACGATTTATACAATTTGAAACCTATCATTGATAAATAACTATTAACTATAAATTGTTTGATAACTGGACAATCAATAATGATAAGTGTATCATGTGTCAATAGTGTGATTCTATTTCTTTGATCGATACAACACATGCTCTTGGACAAGTAGTCAATGATCAGCAAGAGGTATGACCTAGGTCATTGTGTCTAGGTGGCCAGTAGGTATACTGGTCATTATGGGGCCACCTCAGGACAATATCCTATGTAAACATGTGAAAATAAACTCTTATGACATAACATCATTTTGAAAGTCAGAGTCAATGTTAGAGTCAATCCATGGGACTTCAAGAGGAGGGTACTCTACTAACTGTTATATAAACATGAGAACTTCAAAATGAGCTGCCATGTCTAAAGCCTTTTTAACATGTTTCAAAGAGTATCATATATTTTTTTAGTCCATTTTTAGTATCTTGGAAGAAAAATCAATTTATGATTAAAGCCCAAAATATGTTTAAACTCATTTAAAAGTGGAAGCCCATGGTCAAGCAAACCTAAAAATAAGTATTTGAAGACACCGGTATTGATATTTATGATATACATAAATATCAATACATATTTAAGATATTCAATTATTTTGTATCTAAACTATAAATGTATTTTCTACATAATATTGCCCTTTGGTCTTTTGATTACTCATCTTTTTTTAGAATTGAGACACTTCCAATTTCACTGCCTCAGACTTTAGCACGAGTCATTCTTGTTTATGTATATGGGAGTCTGAAGGAGAAATCTTATATTTTGATTGGGTTATTTAGGTACATCTAGCACATGGCAAAGGCAAGGTTGCTGCGTGGAGTTGGACTTTATCACTCAGGGTTGGTGCATGTATCAATGCATGATGTGAGCCAGGGTTAGATACATGATCGCCTGTAAAAGTTGTTTACCTGTCTGTTAACTTTTGATACCAGACATGAACTAAAAGATTACAATGTAAAAGATACCGAGAAACAAGAAAAACAATGTTTAAGAATGATTTTAGAGTGATTGGAACCTATCGAATATTAATAAAGATTTAAATAATTTAACAGATTTTAATGTTTAGATGTTTTTTGAAAGGGTCATCTCAGTGATGGAATGGAGATACAGCCAAATAAAGGTATATTTCCGTTGCTGAAAATCATACTTCAATGACATGATTCAATGAAAGTGTCAGTGACACAAAAGGTATTTTAGACTTTAGAAGGTAAAATCAAAGTCCAATGTCATTTTAAGACACACTTATGATAAGTCTGTTTTTGTCAATGATACCTAATCCCTACATAACAAATGTACTTTTATTTGTACAATGATAAATGAATAAAATGATTACTTCATACTTCCTGATGACTTAACATAACAAAAAGTGATAAAAAAGATCATTTTAATATTCAGAATTGCTTAAAATGTGTCATTTTTGCTACTTAAGTGATGTATTATTCACAGGTCCCAGAATTACTTGTTTTTGTGGCACATTTTAATCTTGCATCATTTGAATTTCTGGGAAATGCCGCATAATTCTTTCATTATAATCTTTGCATAATCTACACTTTTCTCAAAGAATATCTCAGCTGATTCTTCAATGCTTCGTCAAATTAATAATTATCAGGTAAATAATGTTGAAACTTAACAAAAAAGTTTCAGATCACCGGAAATGGCGGTACATATGGGGGTACAATTTCAAAAACATTTTTGTTTACCTGAGTTTTGATTTTTGCTATAATGTGGTTGCATAATTTGCATTTTCCTCACTCATTATTTTGTTTTTTTCCAGCATAATTTCAATTTTTAGCCTGCATAATTCTGGGACCTTTGATTATAAGATACCATTCAGTAGATCACTGATTGAGGTTTACTATTATGACAGTAGAGAAAATAAGATATGTATCTATAGCATTTTTATCAGAATATCTGACTCGCCCCTTGTATATAAGCCCTTGACAAATCTGTTACAAGGTTAATTCATACCAAATCTCAAGGGTTAAAAGTTTATGCTTGCAAAGTTGAATGTTAAATGTGTGATTTTTTATGATCTACATATTTAGTCACATGATCGTTTGAAGTGATTCTCATTATGGGAATTCCTACTGAATAAGCACCTCTTGAATCTACTACAATGGAACATTTTCTAGCCAATGCAAACATAAAGGAGACAAGGTGGTAAATGTTGCTCTTCGAAGAATCAAATGGCTGCCATGCACTTTACCCAGCATGCCTAAAACATAATCAGATCTGGGCATTAGTGACACAAAGTCCACTCATGCATGCAATTTTCTTTGAATTTAATTATGACGATATTTATTTGGCGACCGCCAGCCTCTATAACCAGGGGCGGATCTGGAAAGCCATAAGGGGGGGGGGGGGCAAATTTCAGGTCAGAGAAAAAAATTTGGGCCCCTAAACCCAAAAGTGGGCCCAAATTTTGAGATTTTGAGGCCCATTTTCTTCAGTAGGCCTGAAATTAAAAAATAAAGCCTTAAAAGGCCCAGTAATGATCAAAAAGGCCCACTTTTTGGGGCCAATTCTTTTTTCTGGGCCCACCCAAGGGGTAGGGGGGGGGGGGGGCACATGATAACAACAGTACAGCACTTTTTCAAAATGTGATAAAAAGTTATCATAAAAGATCATCTCAAGAAAGATTATCTCCCCACATTGATATTTTAGGACATTTTACTGTTCTCCACCAGATTGCAGCTATAGTATGATTTTAGTACCATATGTATAACCCATTGACAAAAATTCTTTGGAGATTGGGAAATATGATTACAGCTAGCTAAAGCATATGAAATCTTGATGTAAGGAACATTAAAATGACTACCATTTTCAATAATTCTATTTTACCCTCCTTAAAAGAGAGTTTCATCTACTCAGTACAAGGCTCTGTGTTTTGGGGTATTAGATGCTAAAACATCCAGGAATCTAAGAATTCAGAGAAAATGGCATTGCTTTATAAACAATTCTGAAATTCTGAGACATTTAAAAACAGAGAAAAGCATTTTGGGTTTCTCCGGTTTTTCCTGACTTTGGGAACCCTATACTTACCATTCTTTTCAGTCTGCAGAACAAATAAAAAAGACTGCGTCCACTCCAGTCAGCTTGACTGCCCAAGAAAACATCAGGAAACTTGCGCCATCTATAAAATAGTAATAATTTCAATTATGTCAAAATACTTTATTGAAAGTAAGTGAAAATAAATATATAAATACATTAGAAAATGTGAGGAAACTTGCTCCATCTATAGAATTAGGTAGTAAGCTAGCACCCAAAAATGTATTAGTTCGTGAACAAATTGAAATTACTTGTTTCTTATGTATTTTTATGTGATACTTCAGAAAATGTTTGTCTGACGCGCCGTATCCGGGGCGAAAGTTGTCAAATTGGCATTTTCGACCCTAAAATGGAAAATTACAGGGGGTACTTTATCATCATTGAATAAATCATTCAGTTGGTCTTCAATCATCATAATAATTTTATGGGGAGTTGATTGGATCATGCTGAGGTAGTATGTTAAGTTTCAATCACCTGTCACTCATGGTTGCCAAAATCTGTACAGGTACATAATATAGGATGTGGATTATTTTTCAAATCAACAGATATAAGAATATTGTAGCACACCCAAAATCGCCAGGGAAGTTCAAGAATTTGTTTAAGCATAAAGGATATTGCAATTTATACAATTGGTAAGTCTCAAAGACCATACTACTACTTAAGTGATCAAAAGTGGGCGTCGCCCCCATAATAGTAAATGATGACCATTCTCTGAAAAGACAGAGTTTAACTTGACTTTTGAGAAACATTTATATTGAAGTTCTTTGAATATACCTAATATCATGCATTTCTGGTAAATAATGTACATATAAGTGTAAAAGTTGTTGCAAGGGGAGTGGGGGGGGGGGGGGTGGTAGTAACAGAATTTGGAGGGGGCAGAGCTAATCAGCCTTAGTATAATTCTCATTTATATAGTTCTGGATTTTCAAAGGTTAAATCTTCTGGGTCTTCTTCATTTTCATTTCAATAGGGCCTATATAGGTACTACATTTTACATGATTGGTGTCAAAGACCATACCATTACATAAGTGATCAAAAGTAGGCATCATCACCTTCATAATAGCAGATGATTACCATTCTCTATCAATACAGGGTTTAAGAAGAATTTTCGATATATATATATATTTATCATTTATACTTCTTTGATTATACTTAATATCAACCATTTCAGGTAAATAACAGGTAAACTACTTTATAGTTAATGTAATACTTTGATATTTGAATTAAACCAGGCTTATGTGGCATATACCATCGCTCGATACTGACCAGTGACACCTGAGTTTTATAGTTATTGTATGAGAGGCAACTTGAGAGAGGGGGGGACTAGTAATTGAAACTGGAAGGGGGCAGAGCTAATCAGCTTCAAGTATAAATCTCATAACTACTTCGTTCTGGATTTATTAAGGGACATGTACATCTTCTAGGTCTTCTTCATATTCATCTCAATATATAGGATATTACAATAAACATGATAGGTAAGTGTCCAAGACCAAACAATTACATAAGTGATCAAAAGTAGGAATCATCCCAACAACAGTATATGGTTCATTCTCTACAAACAGAGGTCAACTTGAGTCTTGAGATCATCCAGTGATCTCCCCAGGATTTCTTCTCGGGTGGGTACAAAATTTTCATTTTCACAATTCAGACCAAAATTGGTCAAAATATGCCAATTTTTCATGATTTTTCTCACTTTCAAGTGGGTGCATATGGATTTTCAGGTGGGTGCAAACCTATTTTCAAAATCTCAGGTGGGTGCTGCACCCACTTGCTTTAATGCTTGGAAGATCACTGTCATCTATACGTCATCTATACTTCTATTATTTAAGAAATATAGACTGAAGAGCAGGTGTTATATTGACAAATACACTCCACATGGCTAGGCAAGGGAGTGAGGGGTTCGAAAGCTTTTGTACCTAGCCCTAAGGGGTCATTGTCAATATCAAGCCTGCTCTGAGGTATATATTACAATTCAAACATAAAAACTCCCCAAAATTTTTTGAATATTCAACTTATGGTCTGCCATTACTACAGCCCTCTTGATGTCACACATTACTCGTATTACCAAGGGAAGTGTTGACGAATATACCAGGGGTAAAATGTTGACTTTGTTCACAGTTTATAGAAGGCGTGAATACAGTCATGTTCTAATATAATTTATATAAACCATTTCTCATAAATATGTTTAGTAGTATAGATTTTACGTGGGGTGAGGGTTGGGAAGTGGTTACCTGGGAGGGAGCTCTACTCCCTCCTAATTATTCTGTTACTACTCCCATCTAGGGCCTGGCATAATATATGCAGCCTTCATACCTTCCCTAGATAGAGTAAGTGCCATGCTTTGAAGGGGCAGGATAGCACATTTTAAAAAGATGGAGCACCATATTGAGTCCCAGCTGAATGACTCTCAAATCTGCAAGTGTTTAGTGGTATTTTCTCTTAAGAGATTGTTGATATATCAATGGATCAAAAGATGGAGCACCATATTTAGTCCCAGCTGAATGACTCTCAAATCTGCAAGTGTTTAGTGGTATTTTCTCTTAAGAGATTGTTGATATATCAATATCATGCGATAAATCAAAAGAATGAAAATGATCAGACTATGAGAAGGCTCATCTATAGTTGTTATTGTATTGCCATCACTAGACACTCTGATACTCATAGCATCTTTCTGTTTCACCTAAAGGGCCGGGAAGAAATAAAATGTCATGGTTTATCATGAAGATCACTTGAAAGGATATGGCATTTCCCACCTGCTACACAGTAGATTTTTTCTTGACACATTCTGGTCTTATCATTCAATTAACTGAACTGGTATAGTTTCTTCTTGATTGCATCCTTATTCATGAACTCATTCCAATCTTAAGGGACTCGTGTATTTTATATTTGATAAGGTGAGGTGCCACCACCCTCTTCTTCTCCTATCAGGTTCGTTTATAGAATTTTGGATTTAATTGTCACATAATCACTCTGCTGTTAGAAGTATCTTGAAAAACATGTATTTTCTGCCAGCTCCAGAAACAAAACGAATACAGCAAAGTGTAGTGCTGGATAAACAAAAGAAGACTGATTAATATAAAAAAAAAACATTTATGTTAAGCCACAATGTCTTACACCAGCAATACCAGATAAACCAATTGAAATTGAAGTTTAGACCCCATACTAAAACAATCAAAGACTATGAAGGAACCGACTTCAGTCTTCTTCCATCTTGTCAAGAGCTTACTACAAAGCACTTATCATGCATATGGCCCATATTGTAAACCCTGACATTCCAGCAGAAGATGGACATGGATGGAAACTGAATGACTCCACCATTGCATTGGGTATTGACTGGTATTCTCATACAAATGATTGTTGATATAGCACCAGATGATGAATCAGAAAGACTCCAGAAGATGTATCTTATGAAATCCAGAACTCTGAAGATGAAATTGATACTTAATGCTGACTTGTTCCCCCACACCTCCAAATTCTGTTACTACCCCGCTCCCATACAATAATTATATACAGTATATTGAGATAACTAAGAAGACCCAGAAAATACTCTATGAAGAAGTCCAAAAGAAAGAATTTATACTTAAGGCTGATTAACTCTGCCCCCTCCCAATACTGTTAACCCCACCCCTCCTCATCCAATAACCATTGCACTGAGTTGTACATTATTTACCAGAAAATATAAAGTATAATCAAAGAAGTCCAATGTAAATGTATTTCAAGTCAAGTTTAACTCTGTTTTTATAGAGAATAGCAATCATCTACTCTAGTATGGGGGCGACGCCCACTTTTGATTACTTGTGTAATAGTATGTTCTTTGACACTGACCAATCATGTAAGTTGTAATATCCCATATATTGAGATGAATATGAAGAAGATCCAGAAGATGTACCCCATGAAATCCAGATATATGTAGATGAGATTTATATTTAAGGCTGATTAGCTCTGCCTCCTCCCAATTCCTTTACTACCCCCCCCCCCCCTCTGTACCCCCCCCCCCTTCCCCTTGCAATAACTATGACATTTAGACTTACATTATTTACCAGAAATGCTTAATATAAAATCAAATCAAATAAGTCTAGTGTAAATATATCTCAAAAGTCAAGTTAAACTCTGTTTTTATAGAGTATAGCAATCATCTATTATTATGGGGGCGACGCCCACTATTGATCACTCATGTAATTGTATGTTCTTTGACACTGACCAATCATGTAAATTGCAATATCCTTTATATTTAAACAAATGTTTGAACTGTACTGGTTATTTTGAGTATGCTAAAATGTGCTGATATGTATTGATTCAAAAAATAATCCACATTCTACATGATGTTCATGTTCAGGTTTTGCAAAATTAAGGATATTTTGAATGAAAATTGTGGTTTCCATGACAACCATGAGTGACAGAGCATTGAAATTTTACATACTACTTCAGCATGATCCAATCAACTCCCCATAAAATTATTATGATGATTGAAGACTAACAGAGCGATTTATTCAATGATGATAAAGTACCCCCTGTAATTTTCCATTTTAGGGTCGAAAACCCCATTTTGACAATTTTCGCCCCGGATATGGCGTGTCAGACAAAAATTTTCTGAAGTATCACATAAAAATACATAAGATACAAGTAATTTCAATTTGTTCACGAACTAATACATTTTTGGGAGCTAGCTTACTACCTAAATAGAAAGAATTCCAATAATATATGTGGAAATATTTTACTGAAAGTAAGTGACAATAATGCATAAGGAAACATCAGGAAAGTTGCTCCATCTATAAAATAGAAAGAATTTCAATTATACATGTCAAAAGATCTTATTGGAAGTAAATGAAAATAATAATAATAGATGTCTCTTTGGTGTTTCCTACCAAACATGGGCCTTGGTTTGCTTCTTTGGTTATGTTAACAATGTTATAACATCAGTTTGTTAGTTTACTAATTTTTCCACCCTACATTAGTATGTACCAGATTCTAGGATAGCATATAAAATAGTGTTATATGCAAATTATCATGGTAGTTGAAGTATCATACAATTAATATGCTCTGTAAAAACATAGACTCTCTCTGTGTGAGCCAACTATTTGAAAACAGAATAGAGGGAACTAATGTCCTGTTACTCAAGGTGTCTATAACATCATAACTTGACATTCTAAAGTTAGGTGTCAGCACGTCATTCAGCTATTTAGAGACCCAAAGGTGTGAGAAACCGCTTGCATTTGATACATCATTACAGATTCAATATGAATGGCGAAAGCTTTAGTGATATACTACGTCATCTTTAAAACAAGGCAGTGTTACGGATACTGAACTCCAAACATTGAACACCATCCAGGAAAAAGTTGGAGACTACAACAATATCACCATTCTTGGTATTGACATAACAACCATTTATTTCATTATCGTATGATCTGTAAAATGAAGCCTTTTGATTGGTCAGTTCTTGTGCTGTACCAATCTGTATTGCTACTGAGAGTGTCCGCATTGATCATCACCGTTGCAATACAGAAAATATTGGTACGGAGGAGACATTCTCAGTAGCAATACAGAGGATCACACGATAAAAACGTTATTAAATGATTTGAAGTGCAATACAGGATATATTCTGTCTCGATATTCTGTATTGGCACTCGACTTCGTCTCGTTCAAATACGGAATTTCTCGAGCAAAATATATCCTGTGTTGCACTTCAAATCATTCAATAACTTATATTATTATTCCCTAAACAAGATTGTATAAAGTGGTAAGCCCATTAAATTCAATCTTCAACAGAAATCCATTTACATCTACTTTTTATCAAATATTAACCAAAACTAGCTGAATTATCAGGCCAAATAAAGAGATAAGAGAACAATCACATGTGCAAGTATATCATCATCAGGGGTCAGGTCAAGAGGTATGGTGTCTAATAGTCCTGTATTTGTTCACAAATAATAGAAAAACAGAACATCTTAGGCCTTCTGTATGTTACAAATGTATGTTACAAATGTTACAAATGTATAACATCAATACAATACAATAACACTATGTAATGTTAAAGCCTGGTATTAAAGACATTCACAAGTACATGATAAAATGTCACCATCTGGTAAGTCATTGCAAATAGTTCCAAATATGTAACAATTTGTTACATATGTCAAATACCTACTTTCAAAAGTTAGCACATAACATTAGCTTCTGTTGCTGAGCACTGAATGAAGGTCAAAAAATGATGTCTTTAACAATGTGATCAAAATGTGAAAATGTCTAAGGATAGACATAGTTGTAAATAGATCAAGTCATGAAGACTCAAGTAAACTAGATGATGTATCCAAATATCCATAAAATTAGTTAAACAGTTCACGAATATGCATTTCTTCTCGCTTAATACAAGATCCACTACAAAACATTTTGACATTACCCCTTTGGCCAGTTGGCCTCATGGTCACTACCAACATACATATCAACATCCAATATGTACAGAGGGGGCAATGCAGAATCTCTTATCTCTTTATGATACATGTGCATTGAATGCAGATCCTCAAACATTTGTATATAAATTAATACACTGGTGGTTACTAATTGTTTTTATAATATTGATCTCTAATTACAATACCATTAGATTAAACATATAAAATAACAGCCTTTTATAAAAATAGCCAGACGGGTCGATAGTGAATAGATTCTAGAATACATTGATGGATTTGGGTAAGTTATATTTCGTCACTCTAATTATTTTCTTCTATCTCATTTTCTTTGCATCATTAAAAGAAACTGTTGCTATGGTTACCAGTTTATTTTTACTGTTCTATTTCGAGTATCCTTTGGGAATCCAATCTCAATTTTCAGAATAGGGTTGATCCACCCTTTGCTATCCTCATCAATGAAACCCAGCTTTTGAAATGTAATTTTCCGCCTATATTTGGAAGTAATTTATAATCTCTGTAGTATAAATGGAGACGTGTTTTCATATAAGATCGAAGCATCTGTAGGGGTTTCACTAGAAATTCTCACAAAAGGCTAAATAAATGAAAACAACAGGCAAAATTAATGGAAATCATGAATTTAACATGGAAAAGTTAAAAAGTCTCTAAAAACAACAGGCAATTTTGTGAAAACAACTGGTGAAAATCGTTTGTTGTTTGCTGCTATGAAACCCCTGATCTGTATGTTCACAGCTACTGCTTTTATAATTTAATGTAAAATTCTTACAACTTGACCATTCAGATTTTAACATGCAAATGTCATCATCTGCCATTTGTTATGGATGCCAACTGCCAACTATCGATCGACTGCCTAATACCATCCACAAAAAAGTTGGACACCATAACAATATGTCATCTCTTTTGGTGGTGTTTGGCGTAATAATAACATTTAAAAATTTTATTTCATTAAACATCATTTTCCTAGCTGATGGATATATAGAATTTATTTACTGGGAGGGATTGAATATGGGTTGAATACTCAGGATAAAACTCATGCTAACGACAAGTGATATTTTCTTCACCTTTAGTTCATGTCTTACTCTTTTATCTGAAAAGAATCCTACAAGGTCTTAATAGTCTGCTCCTTATTCTCCAAAACCATTGTTTTGCCATTGAATATTTTCCACAATACCATACCATTTTCGAGAATCTCACATTGTGCCTCCAAAAGAAGGGATTTATACATACAGTAAAACAAATGTACAGTGAACACATATAGGGGCACAAAACATTTTCACTGTAGGTAGGTGCTCACTTCAGAGAGGTGATTTCATATAGAAGCCAGTAGAGTATGTACTGAGATGAGGTGTTCACTTGACACAATTGTTCACTAGAGAGAGGTTCACTATGACAGGTTTTTCTGTATTCGCTTGAACACATGAAACATGACACTGCTTGCTTCTTGATACAGAATAACAATTTTGAGACCAGAACAGGACTATGCAATCTATAGCATTAGCCACTTACTAATGAAAGAAACGTAATGATATCTCATAAAGAATATGTTAAATTCTATTACATGTATTGTAGTTATGGTTCTTGTTCTTTGTGTGATATATAAACTTATATGATAATCCAGTCAACAGCAAAGTTCAATTATATATTTGCATGTTTTTCCAATAGCCTAATTTTAATCTTAATAAAGTTGAACATCGAACAGAAGCAAAGAATTTCATTTTTGAAACCATTGTAAAACATGCAAAACAAAGAAATGGTTGTGTAACTAAATCTTCAAAAAGCACAATCAATTAATGTTTAGAAACACCGTTGCCATAATATACTTAATTTAAAATGAAAAAATGAAATTACATGTGTATTTTGAAAAGGCATCCACATTCAAAGATGTTTCAATTATTAAAATCTCAAAACAGAAAGATATGACTTAGGTAGGCAGAGTGTTTGGACATCAACTTGCAAGCCTTAATGAAAATGGTTCAAGTTAATAAGTCAGTCTATCCATTGCAATAGACCTACCTAAAACACATGCATGATAGTGAGACCAGAACAAATTCAATTCTTATATATATACAAGTATATATATATGAGAAACAACAATTATGTGAACAAAAATTCTTGTACTAGATGAGAAACAGAATGATGTCGCTGCCTCGAGAAGTGATGTTGTATCTGAGACACAGTATATTATTGAATCAGTGTGACTCACGCTCAGCAAGATCAATATATAAGATGATAATGAATAACAGTACCATTTAGTCTCATAGAGTCGCATAGAGGCAAGGATATTGGAACACTTACATATGAAATGACATAGCTCACCCTCAAGATAGGAGACATACATCATGTCTGGGATATGCGTTACATCGGATGTAATCAACTGTCAACTGATAAGAGATCGATGAGAAATGAGAGATTGAAAATGGATAAAATAATATGATAAACAGTCAATGGGAATAAAATATTACAGGAAAGTAAAACATGTGCAGACAATTATTGATGGATATCATGACGAATAAATCCAGGGATTAACTCCTGATATCTACCTGGGGATTAAACACCTGATTAAAAAGTATGTAACACATCAGCATGAGGATAAAAATATCTAACCTTGCTACAACTGTGTGGAAGACTGATCCAAAATTCATGTGTGCATGATGACTTGACCAGATATTAGGTGAAGATGAGAGTCACAAATATCATTGAATTTTCATGACCAATGAGTCCATGATAAAAAGGATGCTTGAGGTGTGCCTACAAATAATACTAAAAGACTAAGGCTTTAAATTATTGCAATTATCATGCTTATAATATACTGGATTGGGCAGTTTGAACATAATTTGTGGTACCTCTCCCAATAGCTCCATGTGATAGGTGTTTATATAAAGGACCATATAGTACCATAAAGAATACAAGCATAAATTCAATCTTCATTATGTATGCTCATTAAAGTAATGCTAAAAGCCCTGTTAATACTGTTAATGATATCTTGATAATTTCATTATAAATTGCAAATCTATCTTAATCAACACAATTTATTTATACCATCAAGTGAAAAGAAATTATGATACAATGGAGTAATCTGAAAGGTAAACCATATTGCTATCAGACAGTACCCCTCCCTCCCTTCACGAGTCTATTAACAACAACATTATGCAGCAAACTGTTGCACCGAAGTACTTTATGGCACAGAGAAAATTAAATCGGATCTGGATGTTCCTCAGAGAAATCAATAGCCATTCACAGTTCACACTTGCATGGCCAATTAATATAATAATTTAATAATGATGTATTGTATATATTAAACTCTAATCAATAGAGTGACATATTCAATATGTTTAGTCCAATATAACATGATATGTCTGCAATACATCAAGGTTCCACAAAATAATTCTCAGATTCAGAGATGACAAAATGAATTAACCTCAATATTACATTGTACATCCGGAAACTTTCTGATAACATTGTGAACTACTGTGAAATACAATTTCCTCAAGAGATTACTTACAAAACATTCATAATTAATCAATTTGGCATAAATAAACTGCTAATCTTACATAAGATTGCAATAATTTACTGACTTATTAAGAAGCTTGAGTGTTAATAAGCAGGCTATTTTGAGCTATTGGTGAACACTCACTACTATTGGAACACCACAGTGTCCAGGCCTTGTTGCAGGAGCAACCAGAATAGATTATTATTATCTTGGCAGTGTATGTTATCTAAACAGAAGTTGTGTTATCTATGGACAGAATATTCAGCAACACTGGTGTGCTACCTCTTTGCCACACTCCAGTAAGGAATACAAATACACTACAAATATATACAAATCCTGATGGGCAATATGATAGTACAATAAGAATAGCACAAATATGATACAGCATCATGTGTGGCAAATAAAGCACATTTTAGTCAAGAACAAGATCAATAGGATTTTTTAACAGACCAAAGGAACAAGGATTGCAATTTTAATTGTAAACTGATATCATAATTGTACATGTTTAACCAAACAAGGATTATCAGTAGATTAACAGAGATTTGACTAACAGATGTTTAATCATGAATACATGAGATCAGTAAGTCAAACATTTCTGGAAATTCTGTCATCATTAGAAGAAGACATTGACATTCCTCCAGTACAACATCTGAGCACAGCAAAAAAGGTGCCAAAACGTAACATCATAATACAAAGTCTCAAGATAGACTACAGTGAAGCTACAAGATTGGACTCTAGAATATCGACTGCTACTGAGGTTATTACTTAAAATCAACATGTCTAAAATGCGAGATTGCTTCAAGAGACTGTCATGGTCGAGAACACATGATCCACCAGAGGACAAATATGGTAGGTAGCAAACACACTACAGTGTCTATAAATGGGGTCTCTGAAATTTGTATGTAGCTTAATTAAATGAGTGTTCTTACACTTTGGTTTATCATCTTGAATCCCCTGTCCCCCTCCGTTCAGTTCTCTTTTCATTTGGCCCAGAGATGTCTTGTTTTTCCAGGCAGAAATCTTTAACAACAACTTCATATTCATGATCTTCATATTGCATTTTGGACATTGTTCTTTATTGGGACATTTCCTCTGACATCATTGCTGACCCAAAACTGACCAACATTAAAACAATATGGACTATTTTCTGCACATTGATTGGTTGAGGACATATATGTCAATGTGAGGACGGGGCCGCATAGTTAATGAGCACATATTTAACATGTTCCTTCCAGCTCGCTGATTGGTTGAGAAAAGGTCAGTGTGGTGGGTTTGAAATAATTTATGACCCAGGCTATCCCAGGCACCGGTCATGGGGGTGGGGCTGCTTAACTTTTTACCAGGCAGAGGGTACTTTATAACTAGACTCTGCGAGCAGGCTATACTCAGGTAACACTTGAGTGTCAAGGACCTATCCCAAGGCCATTTCTGGCACTTGACATATTTAATTTTATCAGAATCTGGAAACCTCTTTCTACCCCATGTACAATCATACTGTTAAAACCAGTGAATTTCTAAGCCATATGAAATAGCTTGATTGATAAAGATGATGTATATTAGATGAAGTTTACCATTGCCAGCATGCCAGGGTCAACTCTTAATTCATTAGGTGTTCTGGTCCAGATACCTCCCCAGCATGAACGCGGCCATATGCTGCACCCAGAAAACTTGAAAAAACAACTTTTACGAACTCACTTGGAAGAACATAAAAATCGGAATGTTTTGACCAGAAAATATGAATATTATCATTATGACCAGATTTGGACATTTCCTTGTTAGAGTTAAGGTAAAATGAGTCGAGTATTTTCACCAATATCAGAAAAAATCCCTGAAAGAATGTTGAATAGATAAGGTGAACAGATACACTACATAACCATAAGTTGTTTTTAGCATATTCATCTCATGTCTCATGTTATAGAATTTACTAAGACAATATGACATGTTATAAATAAGCGACAAATTACAAATCTAATTTTGCATTTACAGTCTTTCACTTCAGGACAATAAACATACCTGTGTTTCCATTTACACCTTATGGGGTACCCTTAATCAGAATCACATAAAAAATATATAGCAGAGATAAATAGGCCTTGCTTTATGAAAGGTTTGTGTTAGGCCAGAAGTCAGAATGTGTCAGAGAGATCACTAACACATACACATTTCTTTACCAGGGATGGACCGAGGATCATTAAAACTTTGAAAAACACAAATGCACCTCAAGGGAAAAGACAAAATATAGCAAGAAAAGGGAGCATCTAAGAACACAGGAAAACACACTCCTAATATTCTAAACTATTATGTACAAAGAACAATGTCTAATATCCCCCTTCTTGAAAAAACTGATACATGTCAGGCCCATAGCCAGGTTTTGCCAAGGGGATACTGTTCAGTTTTCAAAAATTTCCAGGGGGAGTTCACATTTGACAATTTTGGCCCAAATATGGCTAAAATCACTTGAGAAGTGCTCAAAATGGTGAAAAACTGCATGATTTTGAAGAGTTTTTGGCCAGGGGGGGGGGGGGTCCTGCGAACCCCCTGGCTACGGGCCTGCATGTACTTATATGATTGAAACTGTCAAACTCCTCCCACAGATGGTATCCACATACTGGCATAGTATGTGCTTTGGCAATGGTGTGAATGGCTAGGATACTACAATGTAACATTACCTGACTATCAAATACAACTTTGGAAATGCAGTCTTCTAAAAATGTTAATCATAATAGTTTATATTTCTTCAACAGGGGACATACTACCCATGTGACTCATTCTAAATAAACTTTAAACTTGAGTGGAATCACACTGTGATTTGATAAAACAGTTCTTAAATCTTGGATGATCTCATCTTCATTAACGTTTTAATAATGTTTTGGAACATTTTGGTCTTCTTTTTGTTCAAGAAGAAACATTTTCTGAGCCTTCCACATATGCATAATTTATTAGTAATGTATCACCCAAGTCCATTTTTGGCTAAATATTCAGGCCCAGTATATTATTTCATAAAATAAAAGTTCCCATGATGTAATGATTCCTTCCCCTTAATAATATGTGCTTCACATCTGCAAATTATAAGTCATTCAGACCTCTCACATAACAGAAAGACTGGTCCATTTTCTTCCTTCACTCGCAATCAACAGAGAAAAAGAAAGTACTGTACATGTGCACATACAGTGATCTCCCCAACATTTTATTTGGAAAATTTAATCTTGAAATCCCATATTTGCATCTCCTCAAAACCCATTTATACTTCAGAATAAAAAATCATCAAATACATATACATGTAATAGCATTCTTTGACCATCCACATTTATAAGTTGTGAAAATGAGAATTTTGTACTGACATGAGGATCCTAGAGAGAACACAAACTTATTTCAGGTAAATCAGAAAAACACCCCTAATTAAGGAAAATCACAAATTCCCTAGATCCTCCCCATATAATAATAACTAGCTGATGTTTTCTTCCTGGTAATAGTAGACTGAGAGCCAGTCAGAATTCTGGATACTTCAAATACATCAAACACTCTCTGGCAGTACCTAACTTTCTAAGGTAAGTTGATGTAACAAAATCCCCAGATTGGGATCAAAGGAGAGTAGGACATGTTTATATTGTGCAAGGTATATAGATTGAAGAAAAAATATTATGTAAGGTAAATATTTAAAGTGTGCAAGGTATATAGTTTTTGGTCAATCTGCTCTGAATTTGAGTATATTGAGAATATTATATTGGGTAATAAGCACTGCATGTCAATACAAACATATGCATTTTACAGAACCTGGTTTTAAACTTTAAAAGCATAAATTTGGAGGGATGTGGGGTGTTGCTATACTCGTCTATACTCCACATATCAGTGATGATTTATTTTTCCATGACAACAGCAGGGCACAATGACATAATGAGCAAAGCCATCACTTAGTTATAACGTATAAGATGTCTAATTTGTAAAACATACGATCAGTTCTTTTCAAAAAATAAATAAATGTTGCTTTAAAGCTATGACTTGTGGCACTTGTACTTTGATATTGAGTGAAATTCTCACTTAAATTTCAATTTCACATTTATACAGAAAATTATCTTTTAAAAGTTAACAATGATTTGCAAGTTTGAAAATGTTGACCATTCTTAAGATTAATTGACTGTACATTCTGGAATGAATACACTTCAAATATAAGCTTCTTCTCAACAATTCATGGACTTTATGTCTACATAAGTTACAATAAAGTTCATTGATAACCCTATGAATTACACTACAAACATACTAAACAACTTTGGTGAATTACTCTCAGAACATGCTCAACACTGACAGAAACTACATAACCAAAGTCAGGAATATTAACAAATGCATATAATTATATGAATTACTTACTAATGGACATATTTCAACAAACTGTATTTCCTCAAATATAAGGTAAGTAAACAGGACCACTGCATGTTAGGATAAGTAAACTTTAAACTAAACAGAGAAATAACTGTGATAAATAAACTAATACCCTGGTACTTATAGGGGCAATGTTAATTATATTCAAGCAAAATCTATGATTCTGGTCGCACATTGATGTATCCACAAAGTTTATAGAGAGAAATCTGCTTCATTTATAACTCACAGGTATTTCATTTGTTCAATAATATTATTCTAGCCTGATCCTGTGTTTATCAATTAGCTATGGTATAATATGTCACCTAGAGAATGTCTGTGGTTTGTTTGTTATTTAGGATCCTCTCAGATAACAGATTATTCTGCACATCCCTCGTAAGTTTTTGATTTTGGGATTAGGCATACAAATCAAAATTTACAATCTTATCATTCTAATTTAACAATAACAATTAAACAATGTGTTAATTTGTTAAACTTCTTAATACATTCAACTTTGATTCAATCATATGCTACATACTGTTATGAAATTGTATGACAACGTTTTTTATCTATAAATGCAAGGGTTCTAATGTACTATGTAATTCTCACCTCTAAGCCACATACACCAACATACTACACAGGTAAAGATATACTGGACAACCTTCCATATATTAATTCACCAAAATATACCATCGGGGCTAAGTTACAAAACTCTAATATTGCAAGAAGAGGCTGGCTTACCAAGATGCAACTACAAAGGTAAATATACAGCAAAAACACAGTATACAACAATATATTTTATTCTATTGGCAGTGAAGACCAGGTTTATTTTTTCACCGTTATCATCATCAGTTGCAATAAGATCATCTTACTGAGAGCAGTACCATACATGTAGGACATATTCCTTCCTTTGTATAGTTATTGAAATGTACAATATTTGAAAAACACATTGGCCTAGTAACATATATATGCATAGTCATATATGTAAGACAACTTAGATCATTAGATAGGGTAAGGTCGTAAAAGTTCAAAGTTCAATGCTACTTCAAATGAAAAATTGTTTAATTGAAAAAATGACTTTGGAATTTTAAAAAGGTCAAGGTCAGTAAAATTCAAGGTCACACAAATGTTAATTGTACCATGGAGAAAATGACAATTGGTATTTTAAAAGGTCAAGGTCATACAAATGCTAAACACCCATGATATCTCCTAGCTCAAGTCATATTCATTTCATAAGACTTGGAGATTAATACTAAACCCTTGTAGGGATGTTAGACAGTGTTTTGAACCATTTTGGGTTTGAGTGCATCATTACTGGGTATTCCTAAATTCATACACTATGGTCCCCTGCTCATGGTTTCTTCTGCAGTGCTTCTCCAGTTAAACTGAACAAGAAATCACATTACAACACCTCTTATCATCAAAAAGCAGTCTATGCTCATGTAAGACATACAAGGAATCATTTAAGACTAAGGGAAGAATTTAAAGTTCAGAAAAACCTGGAGATAGCTATTTTTAAAGAAATCCATACCCCTATACAGTATAAGGTAGCAACATATTTCACCATCTGTGGTAAACTCAGGTGCTTTGTCCTGTCAGTACTCCTGCCAACCATACCTGTAGACACAGCTTGAAGGTCAGACACTACCCTTCAATGTCACATATGCTTGAAACTGATCCTATATATACATGATTGATCTCTGGGATCCATAAGGATCATCTTCGCTCATTTTCAACTAATCAGTTCAAGTTTTCGGTGTTTGTAACTTCAAGGGGGATTCTGGTGATATAGTAACCATCTGTGCATCTGGACTTAGCAAAAAACTAACTGAGTTAACAGCATGCTTCTGGTGCCTTATGATCACTTGAGAAAACTGAAGATAACCTTGTGACACTTGAAAGGCTAGAGATCATCATAATGCATGGTGAGAGGTACATGTGAGATATACCCATATTAGGAAACACTACATGCTTCATTGATTAAACCCAGCAAAATGATAGCATTATATCAACACCTATGGATGATGTTTCTTTCTTTATTAGTGATGCTCCAAGTTGTGTTTTTGGATCATGTGTATATTTTATAGAATAGAATATTTGTTCAGTACATTCACAAACCAACCCCCTCCCCCGAGTATCAGGTACAAGAAAGTGTTATACATAAAAAGAAAAAATCTTATACTGGACTTTCTTGCTTTCTTAATTATGAACAAAGTTTTTCATATGATTAACATTGCTTCATCCATTGCTTCATGTTGGGGTGACGGGGCCCCATTCCTTTATTCTTCAATGGAGGCAATGACCTTGCCATGTGTGTTATGATATCACATATCTACTATGCAGTCAATTATCAAACAAACATGTGTGCTTATTCCTCAGAATTTTATGGAATTAGTGGAGTGAGGGACCATAGTCTTATCTTGAGTATTTGCTATTTTATATGAACCACACACATCTACATGTTCTTGATAGAGGGTATATATATGCTTGTGATGAAATATCTCTAAAATTAGATTATTGTAAGAAAACCTAGTACAAGGGTGTGTTAAACCTTAGGCAATGGCCAAACTTCATGTGTGAAAATCATGTGTCAGAACTCAGGAAATGGTGTGTCAGAATGCAGAAAATGGTGTGTCAAAGCTCTTACAATGAAACGTCAGACCTTTGACAATAGAATGTAGAACTTCAGAAAAGTGTAAGTCAGACATCTGAAAATGTTACATCAAACTCATAGTATATAGACAATATTATATCTGACCTATCTTGTAAACCTTGAATGTTGAAATCCACGTATAAAAATGCATTCATGCACTTCATCTATAAGCTGTTAGAATTTTAAAACAGATGAACAATAACTTTTGAGTTAGTCCCCTAACACAATCAAAGAATTGAGAAAGAAGCACATCTGGCCAATGTTAACAGGTTAAAGTACCCTGTGACGCAAAAAGAAAGACCATGTGCATTACATTGAATAATATGAAAGATATCTTGTAAAATGTAACTGGAGAGGTGTTGCCATATCAACAGATAACTGTGCCAATGAGGCTATATACATAATGATGGACTCTTCATCCAAGGATAAACTTAGTATGTTATATCTTAGAAACCCATGGAAATGATCCATGAAACTCAGCCTGAAATACATCCACCTTTGTGTTTGATACATGATCAGCCTATGGATCGTATCTTCGCACGCTTAGTCTTCATTGCATCCAGACCAATGGGAGCCAAGTGAACGAAGATGATGGATCCTAAATTTGGTTATTTTCCTTGTTTGCATTCTAGCTGAATTAGTTTCTAGTTAGGGTTAGCAATCTTTATGTGTGTTTTTGGGATGATGACTCCCTACTTGCTGATAAGAGACCAGACAAATCCTTCATTTTTACACACATAAGAGGGGAGATAATACAAGTATGGGAATACCAATGTGCCTAGTCACCATCTGTGCATGTTATAGTCTAGATGATTGTTATTAATTATATGGCATTAGTATGTAGAAATAGCAGGTTGACTCTTACTTGTTCTCAGATATATGTAATATTCACAAGTAAAAGAGGTAATCATTATGTTTATTTATTAGTCTTGCGTCAAGACCTTGGAACCCCCTTAATTTAGTTCAACAATACTGTTGTTGAAGTAGGAGGAGAGGGGTCTTGAAGCAAGACTTCTTATATATCTGCTCTCGTAAAACTACTAGAGTAAAATGGTATGATGTACATGGTGCCTTAGATGGCGTATAACCTGGGTACAGGTGTCAGTACCACTTGCATTTATAAAGTGTTTTTTCACACAAATACATGACTATTGGAAGTCATTTCTGGATCCAAACCATCCATGAGTGTCTCGAGCAGACACATGTGAGGAGTATATCTTAGGACAATTCCCATCGAAGCGACAAATGATGGATTTGTGCACGTTTTTGTGACTTTTATACTTTTCCAATATGGCGGCGCCCTCGGAAATAAAAATACTCGTACTTGTACTTGTTATCGTATGGATCTAAGTTCATAGGCTATGTATAATGGATAATACCGTTACAATGGATGTTCCGCCGCCCTACATGATGGATATTGAAGAAAGTGTGCAATTCTTTCTCCAAAAAATTGACTGTGAGCCAAAGGATGACATTGTTGAGTCATTGGGTGACGAGTTTGACGAGGGTCTATTGTGTGAAACGAGAGAAACTCTTTTGGAAGCAGCACAAGCTAAATGGCAGACAGAGGTTGGTAATAAGTCTATTGATTTGGGATTGAAATTGCGTAGAGGTCCCGATAAACTGAAGGCTATATGCCGAGATATATACGAGTTGTATAAATATTGTGCCGACGTTGATTCATCACCATTCCCACGATCAGTCCTCAATGCTTCGACTATCTCTGCGATAGAGACTTTTGTTAAAAAAGACACTGTGAATGATGACAACGGCACCGATGCAGTTAAAACGATAGCATCGTTGGGTGTTAGTGGTCTTAAGGAACATTATATTATATTGGTCAACAAAATAAAGGAACTTGAAATCGCATTTGCTGAGCTAAAAAACCAGAAGGTCGTAGTGACATGTACTGTTTGTAAACACGAATGCCTGCTGAGCAATAAGCCTAATAACGAAAACGCAGCAGCCCAAATCGACGTGGGATTAAAGCCGCGGGCCAGCTGTGAAAGCGATATATCTATTCAAAAGCCCAGTGTTGTGAGTAGTTCTGATACTAATAGTCCTGGCTCAAATAACCGGCAACTCTCTGTTAAGACAGCTATGTCGCCAAGTAATACGTTAACAAAACCCACAACTACAAGTAGATGTGCAACGTTGGATGTCCCCCCTATAATGACCACCAGTAGTGGTTCTGATTGCTCTACGACAGTTGCATCAATTCCCGTAGATCCAATAAATTTCCCACCACTAGTGGCTCCAGATCCGAAGCTGATTGACTCCTCGACGTCTCCTCCAGCCCGTGCCCCTGCCATTCCTCCAACAAAACCTCAACCCGACAAGGAGGTTAAGGGGACATCGAAGTTCTCCAAATCAGGTGTCCTCACATCTTGCAACAGCGGGCGTGGAACTGCAACGACAAAGAAACTATGTGGAGTAAAAAATGAGCCATCGCGTATAGTGTATTTGGAAAACATCTCTCAGGGTATTGATGATTCGGATGAGACCACAAAGGATCTAGTGCTTAAACACGCTCACGATTTAGGTTTGAGAATAAACCAAATATATGTTATTCATAACAAAGTTTCCCGTAATAGGGTAGGATGTAAAATATACGTACCTAGCTCGATGTTCAATAGGGCCATTGATAGTGATATGTGGCCTGATGACGTGAATAGTCGTGAGTGGATTTCCAGACCTCGGCGACAGAAGCAGAGACCCGATGGTGGCTACTGGGTAGGGGACCAGGAGGATAGGATCCCCCCACGTTTCAGAGGTCGTTCCACCTACGGTTCCAGCAGCAACATCAATCGACCCAGACGTGATGAGCATCGCAATCGTGATGTAAAACAGTACCATGAAGATGATGAGAGGCGACATAACAATGATGATTTCGACAAGAGACGACACCTCGATGATGACTACATGTATGATGAGAGGCAAAAAAATGATGATCATGATGATAGACAGTACTATGATGAAAAGGACTATGATGAAAGATCTAACAATTATAATGAATCTGATAATCATAGAAAGGATGATAACCATCGGGGCCAGTTCCAACAGGCTGTAAAGAGGATCCGAAACAAATACCATACCGAGCAGTATGACGCATGGAATGACAGGTCCTATTAAAGTTATGACTTATATGTACATGCTGTATTTAATTGTCACTATGGTGTTCTTAAACTTGTGTCAGTGGAATATAAACGGGTTTAACACATCTCAGATACTACTCCATAAGCTAATGCGTGAGAATGATATCATATGTATATCAGAACACAAAATGTATGAATGTAATGCGTTTAAACTCAATTTAATGCAAAATGATTTCAACATGCTTTCTCGTAGTAGCAGACTGCTCAACCCAATGCATTGTGGTCAAGTATGGGGGCATGGTGGCGTGGCTATTTTATGGAGGAAATCTCTGTCAAATACATTACCTGTTACTAAATTTTGTACTGATAGGATTGTCTGTATTGAAATTGTGTTAGATGTACCAATCTACATTTTTTCTGTGTATTTGCCACAATCAACATGTGTTAATGATTGTTATGAAGATGTTCTGAACACATTGCATGAATTCATTGGTGTGTGTAGTAACAATGGTAGGGTGATTGTAATGGGTGACGTCAATGCAAACGTCGGCAATTTGTGTAATACTAGTAGAAGTGTAGGAATTCCATCTGCGAATGGAAAATTGTTCTTTGATATGTGTATTAGTAACGGTCTTTGTATAAGGGATATGATGAATGACACAGTAGGACCAACGTACACATTTATATCACATATTAACACAGGTCAAACGTCATACATCGATCACATCGCTATATCACACGAATTAGCGGGTAATATAACATACTGTGAAGTGTTTGAGGATTCTCCAGACTTGTCATCCGATCATCTTGTTATTCTAACAAAACTTGATTTATTCAATATTGTACCCATTGTGCGTGCAAAAACCCCTTGTGAGCAGTTCGCTTGGAATAAGCTGTCTAATGACGAGATTGCGTCCTGTTACACGACGAAACTCGAACATAACATTGAACCTTTACTTATACAAGGGCGACATCTTTTAAAAACCAATGATATCAGGAATGAAGAAATTGACAGTTTTAGTGAATTAGTAGTTGATACGATTATCAAATCTTCTTGTGATGTGCCTATCAAGAAATTCCGGAAGCATCAGAAACCTTTCTGGAATCCTAATCTTTCACATCTGGTAAAAACCAAAAATGTTGCATGGCGCACATGGGTGAATGAAGGGCGCCCACGTCAGTCGGACAATGAGATACTTTTACGTTATAAGGCTGCTAACAAAGCCTTTAAGAAGGCTTACTCTCAGGCGCAACGCGATTTTGAACAAAAAGAGCTGGACAAACTACAAGACGACGCCATAGATCAACGACTTTATTGGCATCTTGTCTCTAGGAGTCGGGGAACTAAATCACAAAGGATTAACTCTATACGGGATGAGGATGTAGTTTTATCGGATCCATCTGAAATTCGCAATGCGTGGATGAGGCATTTCTCAAAACTAGCTACACCTGGGAATTCCCCGCATTTTAATGATCAATTCCACGATTACATCCAACGGCGGGTGATTTCATTGAGAACAGAATCGATGCCAAACAAAGACGGGATTCTTGATATGCCAATCACAGAGGACGAAACTAATGATGCTCTTAAGGCCCTTAACACAAATCGTGCGTGCGGATGCGATAAAATTTCAGCTGAACACCTAAAATTCGGCGGTCCAAACCTAGTATCAGTACTTTGTGTATTTTTTAATATTATCCGTATGCATGAACATATCCCCCGGGGTCTTTGTAATGGACTACTCATACCATTGTTTAAGGGTGGGAATAAAGACCCGCTAGATCCGGACCACTACCGTGATATAACTCTGATGTCCTCGTTGCGGAAGCTATTTGACAACGTGCTGCTCAGCCGCAGTAAACATCGTTTCCTGGCACACATCCCACAACTACAGGGTGCCTCGATAGATTCCTGCTCTTCACTTCACACTTCATTTTTATTACAGGAAGCTATATCCCACTGTAGGGATAAGGGTTCTACTGTATATTGTTCTCTATTGGACGTGCGCAAAGCCTTCAATTCAATGTGGATTGATGGTTTTCTTTACAAACTTTACAGATGCGGCATGAATGGAAAGTTCTGGAGAATGATGTACACGTCCTACAAAACTTATAACTGTTCAATTTTATATGACGGTGAATGTTCTAGCAGTTTTAACGTCGAACAAGGTGTCCATCAGGGCGGGGTGATGTCGATGATTGTCTACCAATTCTACCTCGCAGATCTCTTGTATGATATTGTGGGTGAGCAATGTGGAGTACGTATAGGTGGCACTGACGTCTCAGTAGTTGCGTACGCAGATGACCTATCACTTTTATCTCTTAGCATGCAAAGTATGAACAGACTATTAAGCATCGTGTGGAATTACAGTTCATACTGGCGAATCACTTTCCATCCAGGTAAATGCTCGCTTCTTATTTTCGGCAGACCCGACGACGGCAATGATACCGCTTTACTTGGCCCCTGTGCAATTCAACAAAAAACAGGAGAGCTGCACGTCGGGATACCCCTTAGGAACCACAACGACTTTGTAAAGCAAACGATATGCAAATCAAAACAGAAATATTTTTCGTTATTGGGGCTTGGCTCGTTAACAGGTGGCCTTTGCCCACTAATGGCCAGTAAGTTATATTGGACTTTCTCAATAAGCAAGCTACTGTACGGTTGCCAGGTAATAGACTATAGTAATCACGAAATAGAGCAAATGGAAATATCACATCGTGAAATCGGAAGAAGAATTCAGGCACTCCCAAAAAGTTCGCCGAACCCTATAGCAGCTTCAGGTCTTGGATGGCTTTCTATCAGAAGACAGATAGATTTCTCGAGGATGATGTTCTTCTGGAGTATAATAGTGTTACCAATGAATAATATTTACAAAACCGTCTTGATACATAGATTGCTGTGGCTCATAGGGGGGAATGGACGGCATAACTCTCCACTTTCCATCATTTGGAGAACACTTGAACGGTACACTTTTGCCATTTTATCTATGAACATGATACAGTCTGGGGAATATCTCTCTAAATCAGGTTTTAAACGCATTGTAAGAAATGCTTTATACTGTAATGAAGCAAATAGCATTAGAATGATGTGTTCTTTGTATAGTTCCTTATCATTTTATTCTTGTACATTATCCATCTCATACGTGCAGCCAAATATATGGTGGCTCATATGTAAACTGAGACCTATTTTCAAAAAACAGTGCAAACTTATGTTTAAACTCCTAGCGGGGTCTTATCCTTTTGAGAATGGGGTTTGCCCATTGTGCATCAATTCAAGAGACACTATTGAACATTTTATACTACAATGTGATATAATTACCTATGAACGGCAGACTCTACTCACAATGTTGGAGAGTGAAGGCCGTATGTCACTTGCTGAGAAGATGGACTTTGTTTTAGGGTTGAGCTCAACCTTAGAGAGCATCGACTCACTCTGCTCCATATCACTTGTAATATATTCCATGCATAGAGCCAGAGTATCAATGATCTAAATCATGTAGGACAGTTCACACTACATAATTGATTTGAAATCATGTTCCCTGTTACTTTTTTACTTTCTTTATTTCATTTTCTATAATTATTGTATAACATGTGCATGTAACTGTCTTATTCTAGACGCAAATAAATAATACATACATAGAGGTGTTAAGTCTTTTAATTATATGGTTTATCATGAGAGGGAATGAATGTTCTCAAACTAGCTGCTAAATGAAACAGCCATTTTTCATTTTGTCAAATATCTGTCAAAAAACCTTTAGATGACCATGACATCCCTGAAGGTGAATGATGTGTGACTTTCAAGTCAATCTGACCTTGATGGAACAGTGTAATAAATGTTAGACATATAGCCCTATAATTCATCGCCATGGTAACAGAAACTTTACTTCTTAAGTAATTGAAAATGGTTAAAAATAACTGAAAGCCGCAGTCATAAAAACAATGGCTATAACAATTCTTGGTAGTGACATAAAAATGTTATAAATCCACACAATGGACCTTATTCTATTATCCTAAAGGATAAAATATTTGCTGGAGCACTTACTCACACATTCAAAAATATGAACCCTTTTTGTATTGTTAACAATTATCAACAGTAACTCAACAGAGGTCTATATAATCTTGTCAGGCCAGGGTAAAATTAGTTGTTTTTCTTATGTTGCCCTTTGTGCTTTCTCATTAAAATCAGTGTACGTAAGTATGTTCTACAGGTGTTCAACTCTCAACTTCACAATTGCATAATACACAATGCAAGAAAAATCGAACATGATGCTAATCATTGTAGTGTGCAGACTTATGTTGTTTTGCAAGTCCAAGAAAATATGATATACAATGCACATCTGTTAAGATTTGTGACAGATGGGAAGATGAAATTATACATATTTATACCAAATTATATTACCATGGGCCCTAGAACATGGATTTATATGAAAGTAAGCAAATCAATAGACTCAATAGTTAAGGTCTCACTCCATTAGATTAATTGTAGAAAGAGACCAATTTCCAAAAGATCTCAGATAATGTTATGATTCCATATTAGCAACTTAAGTTAGTGCGAAATGGATTTTTCTTAATTGGAAATAAAGTTACTGGAGCTAAAATTAATGAGAAATAAAGCTGGGATCAATCAATCTATTTTTAATATAGTTGATATGGCAGGGTTTATTAAAGTATGATTCTGTGGCTATTCAGTATTCACAGAACATCCTGGGTGCTGTCTGTACAGTATGTGACAATCGGATAACAGACAGTAGAACATTGTCAAGTATATGGCTATATGAGATTCAATATGAAATGAAATATTTAGTATGACCACAGTATGTACTAGTGATGATGACAAAGACACAATACCACAATATAACACAGACAGAAACATTAATTGTTTGGATTGAATTTATATAGACACTATTTAAAACAGCTGATGGAGAAACAAATCGGGCAATTTTGATAGGAATTAGTACATTGTAATTATACAGTGTAGAAAATGAAGTAACAATGAATAACAAGCAATGACTACAACCAAATATGGAATAAATGTAGCCAATGGAGAACTTTAAGTACCATAAACTGGATACCTTCACACAAAATGCCTTCTCAAAGCACCCCACATCTGTTTCACCATAGTGTATATGAAATACACCACTCCTCATTCTATACCTCAAATCCACTTCTTTATGTTTCTCACACATCTGAAATTATTCTATCTACAGGCAGCAACTACAATGGTGACGCGAATGAGATGCCCGACACACGCCCACTCAGCACACGTCGCGAGGTGATTGAACAACTCGACTGCGATGTCATATTTGATTATCTCATTCAAAATGGAGTATTAGAGAAGGCATTTGTCGAGGAGTTAAGGGCTGAGAAAAGTAAAGCGAAGGTGAATATCGCTGTGTTACAAACCATAGAGAATGGCGGAGATATGGCATACAAGCTGTTCATCAACGCACTGCGTACGATGGGGCAGCACCAACTGGCGAACCAGCTAGATGAGGGAGAGAGGATCAGGCCAAAGTCAGGCTCAGGTAGGTGAACTTTCTTGACAATTCAGTGATCACCCTTGCATTATACCAACTGGGTGCTGCACCAACTTGAGCTTTGGAAAATTGGCTTGCACCCACTCGAAAACTCATTTGCACCAAGTTGCAAATTACCAAAAGAGGCATTTTTGACCATCTATAAGGAGAATTTTGCATCGACTTATAGAAAATATCCTTGTTAGAACACTGCATCTGACAATAGACAATTATGATGTCACGCAAGAACTAAATTGAAGGGGATAAACATTATGTAATTACTATGTCACCCAGAAAGTAAATTGTTTTCATTTAAAATGCCAAATTGTTTTATCATTCATTTCTTAGTCTATGATGTGATATCTACTGTAAATCATGATATTTGAACAATAAACACAAGTACGCTACATCAAACACAATTAAAATATTACAACTGATAAAACCAACAACTCAAGAAACTACTTGCCCTGAATATAAATATCATAAGAAAGTTTGATTGTATTTTCTCTGAAGCATAATATTGTTCCCTCAAGTAACTCAGTATGTACATGTATGAGAAATGAAGATGATATATATTTTCTATTGTTCTTTTTGATGCATAACTATGAGTATAATGTAACCTGTCCTACATAGTTGTAATCATATGCACAGCTGTGCAGCTAACACTGACTGTAATTACAAGTCACAGTGATCACCTTTTAAACCAATATCCAGTGATAATTTGATTTGTCATAGAAATGCTGATGAATTTGTGCCATTTTCCTAATTTTGAGATTTTTAGCTCATTAGTAGCACTAATGTGTAATATGATATTCATGGATACTGTTCATGTGTATTCTGGTTACATATGATCATGTTAATAACAGTTTATTACAATTTCAATATTGTTTTCTTGTATTTACAGGATACCTGGGTACAAAGCGCAAACGAGGTATGCTATTTTCAAGAACATTTCACGATACATGTATAACACTGGTGGATCCAGAAGCCAAAAAGGGGGGGGGGGGGGCACATTTTAAATTGTAAAAAAAGATTTTGGGCCCCAAAATCAAAAAATTGGGTCCAAATTTTGGAAATAATTGAGGCACATAGCACATAGTCCTATGCCCCCCCCCCCTGTATTTGCCAGTATATAATAAATTAATTTTTCTCAGCCTGATATGGGCTCCCAATGATGTACTCTCTGATTCTGCTAAGTTAGATCAAATATTTTGAATTTGTTCCTTGCAACGTTAATAATAATATCTAAAATAAATATTATAAAGAAAACTGGAAAAATTATGTATAGATAACCATTTTCTTTGTTTCATGTATGTCTCACTTTTATAACCTCCTAACCTTATTAGATTTACCTCTGGCACTTTACTGGCATTCTCAAATCCACCTTTTCATCTGCCTTTAAGTGATGTATAAGTGTCAGAGAGGATCAATCGTTAGCACACGATTCTATTCTGTTTCAATTAATTCCCTATAATACTTACATTTGAAGCAATCATTTCCATTTTACATTTTCAGGCCAAGTTGGGGTTCAGATAAAAGTGACTGCAATCAAACTACAGAAAGATGATTCAACAGAAAATGCATGGGCCAAAAGCAGAGAGTGGATTACACAAAGTGAAGAGGACGTCAAAATTATCCAACCACGTCCAATCGCTCAAATTGAGCCTCGTCGACGATCTATGGAAAATTTGGAGATTTTAGATATAGAAGAACCACAAAAAGAGAACGAATCTTGCTGCCATTGTTTATGTTTTTCCTGTCTTTTTGGAGGTCATAAAAAGGAACAAAAATATAAAGAGCGAGATATCTCCACGTCTAATGGTGCTAGGAATGTACATTCAAATCGACCAGGTACTTCAAATAATTCCAAATATACCAGTAAGGAACATATCGAAAATAACAGAAATGCTTTTGGTTTACTGGAATACACTGCCGAGAAATTTTACGATATCTTAAATAACACAGGCACTCCATGCCACATAGCAATGTTGAAGTATTTCGAACAGAAACGTGAAATCCTAGTTTTGGGGACCTTCCTTACAGATACCAGTATAATGGTAAATTTATGCATGAAAAAATCCCAAGTTGAAGAACTGAGTTCGGATTATAATTCTGGTAAACTGACAAAGGATTTAGAGTCAGTAATCTTAACTGAGGAGACTCTGAAGAAATTAGAACTAAGTGCAATGAAGATACGAACAGAGATTGATATCGATGAACTTAACCTTGCAGAAGTAGAGCTGAAATAATGAAACCTTCCTAAGGAAAACTGTTTGTATGGTATAACATGGACAGTCCTGCTTAAACTGACCGCTTGAAATGGAATAGGATTTCAACAAACTGCTGCATATAACTAGTCTTGCATAGAACCTCTTCTCTAATGAACTGTAGAAGATATTTGGAAGGAGGTTTGATGCAAAACTACATACAGTAAAACCTGTAAGTGGAACACCTCTATAAGTGGAACCCCACAATAAGTGTTACATACCACTTTTCAAATCCTGTTACCCATTGATCTAATGTTAAATGAGCATTTGTTTGTGGAATACATCCCAAGTGACACAGTAATATGAGGTACCGAAGCTGTTCCACTTATACAGGTTTTACAGTACTACAAGCTATCTAAACAATGAACTCTGTACAATACAGAATTAAAATATTGCATCCAATCAAACTGTCAACCATAAAATGACATAAGTATTAAACCCGGTAGGATAGCCTGTTTATGTAATACATGTACACAGTGTCCAATATGTTTTGTACATGTATGTACAAATGTATTTATGATTGTTTTTAGTTCATTCTTAAAGTATTTATCATTTAGCAAACAAAGAGCTTTCAAGTAAAGTTGTGTCATAAATGCACCCTAGACTCTACTTAGAAAGACACATAACATATTGCTTTTAGTTATGAGATTGCAAAAATGTAATTTTAGTAAGCATTTATTATGATTTCATAAGATAAAATCAGATTGGTACACAATCAAAAATGACATTTTGTTTTAATCAAAACTGTGTCATGGTGGTAATCTTTGCGACTCCCTCGGCCTCTCAATTCAACAGTACAAATTTTGACAAAACATGTATAGAGTCAAATAGACTAGATGCGCGTAGGTATAATCTTGATTTACATCATTAAATATTAAAAATTCTGCCAAAGTGATGGCATATTTGAAATCCACAAGTAAAAGAACATCTAGAAATATGGTTTCGTAAATTGTTTATCAACTTTGAAAAATTTTTTTTTTGATAATGTGATTTCTAGTTCGGGGATATTCCTCATAGACAAAGTTAAGTATCTTTTCTTGCATTGGACAGATAACGTTTTCTTTTACTGGACATATCTTAATTTGCATAACTATTTGATACTTAAGGGTGATATGAAAATTGAACCACTAAAACAGATAAATATTAAGTTAAAGGGAACTTTCTACTACACACGCCATGCTATCTGACCCTAACGAACCACCTGGTGGTGAAACTGGTAACTACCTACTCACATTTGAGTCATCTAACAATCTAAAAATGTAAAATTACCTGCCATCTATTTCTGTCCTCAAGAACAAATAATGTTGCAGAGGGATGACATCACATCAGTTTTAAACAGACACCCAATAACTGTGCCATGGTATACTTTCCAAATCAAACCTCTCAGCCAATATTTACTTCCCACAGCAATTGCAAACTGTTGTACAAACTAAAACCAAAATTTAAATATCATTGATAATATTTGTAAAAAGGTTGCCATTGATACTGTATGTTTTAAAGCAAATGTTCCAGAGTCCTCCCTGAATTATACCCATATAATAGTGATGTATTTGAAAGGAGAAAGGTATATGTGTATACTTCTTATGTTTATTTTGTTCATTTCTTATCCTTGTTTACCATCACTGTCCTGAAGTCTTCCCTCATATTTCAAAATCAACAAATAACGCTGATGACTATAAGCGAACCAGATGTGTTTGATTCTCTCAAGAGCCTCAAGGTCAAACACTACTTCTACACGATTATCATCTTTGTCATTGTCATATTCATTATTTATGACATCTTGACAATTTGTTCTCCATTCTGTGCAGAAGCAATCATATTCCTTTGAGGTCATCATTACAATGAAGTATCAATTGTTTTAAAAGGCCAACTTCTCTCATTAAGTAAAAACTAAGAGTGATCACAAACTTGAATACTTTTATGGCAACATTTAAATATAAGTTTATTGAGAATTTAAAAGGTTTTGGAATGGTATTTTTATGTCTACCTAATGATTGAAACCAAGGGACAAGTTTTATAAACAATTCCTATCTATTTCTTCATATTAATGAAAAATAGACCATTAACTAAATATGCCTAAAAACTTTTAACATACATTATTTAACTTGTATCAATCTTAAAGATTTCATTGAAAAGACAACACCATCCTTTCCTTGTGAATCACAAAGATAAAAATAAAGAAAAACTTATATTGAAAGATGTCACCCCAATGAGTTTAATAGTTGTATATGACTCAAGTGTAGCATTGTATGAATAGAGAGGATACGTAGTATGGTGCTTGCATATCTGCGTTCTTCTAGATCCTGTCATGTCAAATTATTTATCCCGCCCATTGATGTATTGTATTGTTTAGTCTTTTAAGTGACAAATAACACAGAGAATAACATAGTCAGTTTGATTTAGGCAACCCAAGTCAGTTTTGATATTCTTTCTAAGTTGATTAACTAAGTTGATTCTTTCTAAGTTGATTAACATGAATGTTTGAAATTCATGAATTATACCAGATCAGCTGAATATGAAGCTAAACCTATTGTTAAAAGATGTCAGGGTCATGATTACACAAAATGAACAAAAATTGCACATACAGTATAGTACAGATCAGATGTAGCATTTTGAACCGCATTCACTTTCATCAGGATGATTCAGTTTCTATTGTTTAAACTATAGAAGAAAAATATTGTAAGCTGATTTGGGTTGACCACATCAAACTGCAATTGACTGTGGAGGATACAGTATTCTTTCCTTTTTGGTCCAAATGTGTGTGTTGTAAAAACTTACATGTTCGTTTGATTCCAGTGCCTTTGTACTTGTGCTTTATTGTAAATCCAGCACATTATTCTCTAGTTAATGAGCTATGTACTTCTAGTAGTGATGATATGTGTGACATGAAGTTTCCAGTGTTCAGTCTGCCATTGTAGAGTTCAATATGCTGTAACAATTATAAAAAATATACATTATAAAATCAGCGGTCGACTATTTGGAGGGTGGGGGGTACAATTGGAGTCAGAACCGACTGTTCCTAGAAGCCCTATAATCTTTTTCCGACCAAGAAGGTAAAATTAAACTTATCTATATACGTAAGAAATTGCTTGTGGTAGCATTGACTGAATGAGGGACCCCACTCACTTAACATGTATCCCTTTGCAATTTAGCTATGATACAGTTTAGTAAGCTCATTGTATAGTGGGGTCCTCATGGTGCTTGTGGACAAAATACTTTTCCCATAGCTTTTCTGTAAAGGTTAAGGGCTAACCATGATATTATGGTCTACCCTTACTACTTTTACACATCAATCCCAAATTGTTTGTACACTATTATAATCATGTTTTTAAGTTTTATATTGAAATTGAAGCATTGCAGAAGTATATGGAATAAATGTGTTTATGAAAGAATAAATCTGCCAATTAATCATAATTCTGTGATTTTATTTTGTCTTCTGATGTCAGCTTTTAAGCAGAACTTGAACTCACACAGGGCATATGTGTCTAAAATATATAAGGGTTATGTACTGGGAGGTTTTGGATACTGATGGGGTTTATCCAGAGGGAGATATGCATATCTACCTGAGGGACCGTAGGGACCGAAGGTAGATGTGCATATCTCACGATATTTTCATATCCAAACCGACCGTACATAACTGCTTTATCCTATACCAAGTAGAGTTTTCAGGGGCAAATGTCCATTTCAATAGTACAAGGTGTAAAAATAAACAAATCATTCATATGCAAAGTCATTTTATTGCATTACCGGAAGCAGGAAGATATGCACCAGAAGCGGGAAGATATGCACCGGAGTGGGAGATATGGCGGGAGATATGGAGGTTCTGGATATGGAAACCTCAAATTCAGGATACGGGATATATCTTACCAACTTATCTCCCTAAAACTCTACGTGGCATAGGATGAACAACAATATTGGGCCAACAGTATCTGAGTTATTGCCCAGATAGACGGACAGACAGATAGACATATGGATGGACAAATGGACATATAGATGGATGAAGTCAGAGACATTTTCTATATCCCCAAACTTCATTGAATTCTGGTTATATTAAGTAGGTAACATACATATTGTTTTAGGCATGTGGTTGTTCAGGATATTTTCTCATTGACATGAAGAAATGGGTAAGAATTTTTAGTTAAACAGAAAGAATTACAAATCAATTTGAGAAACCAATTCAAGTGGCATAATTCCATTCTTCCAGATCAGGTATTCACTGTCCCAGCTCATGGAACATATTGGAATACCCTTGGACCAAGGATGGCACCATTCAAATGTGGCAGTTTTCACCACCAAATGGTAACATGACTCACAGTTCAACTCCCAAAAGGATGAGTGGGACTGCTGATGAAGAAGCATGGCAGTAGCCCAGAGCATGTATTATAATTTAAAACTACTATGTTAAAAAGACACCTAACCATCTTATCTTGAAACAGGCATGTTTTAGATGATTGAATCATTGATTAATGAGATTTCACTCGAGAGAATTTATAATTTTTCTCTGGTGGATGAATTAGGATGAGGCATTTAGACAATGCAAAGACATAAAAGATAGAGATATCCTCAAGTTCATGGCCAATAGAAAATTCTAATCCATTTCTTCAAATCCGTGATTCTTTGCACTTTATTAAAGGCTGACATTGCTCTAAAAAGCAATATTTGGACATATATTATTCTTATATCTTTATACACCTGACAACATGATTAATGCTTCAATATTAAGTTGACTTGGTTATGAATTGTTTTTTTTCTGAATAAAATCAAAAAACAACAATTTAGTTTAAAAACAAAGTAAGCAAAGCCGGGATTCAAACCACGACATACCACGTGGCAGGCAATGATTCTGACGCAAGGCCACCATGGTAATTGTTATTGAGCGGGAGTAATTTAACGCATATGACTTCCAGTGTTCTAATCAATATTCTAAAGTGATTCCTTTTAGATAAAGTGGAAAACAATTTCCCATGTTATTTTCCCATACGGAAAACTCATGTGATCCATTGCTTTCAGCTAATTTTGGTCACCCCATAATGGATATCTTTAAAAACCCCAAAGGAATCACTTATTCCCTAAAGGGGTTAACTGTGTGTCAAAACGGAACAACCCATGATTGCTTTCTCAAGAGAGGCACAACTTTAAGTAAAGGCTTTACACCTATTGCCACTAATGATATTTG